CGATGGTTTGTGTGGACACGGAGATGGTTGGTTTATTTCTTTCTCCCTCTGACTCAGCTGTGGTTTGGGTGGACGTGGTGCCTGCGGATTTGGTCCTTCTCTCCTCCCCCTGACAGTGCTGTACCATGTCAAGTAGTGTCCGGTAGGCAGTGGCCAGGGCCCAGCAGGTTGCTGTGAGCTGGCCATCTCTGGAGTTGCCAGAGCATTTTTCCTTCACCAGTCTTATCATGCTAACAGGATCCTGCAGTTGTTCAGGGGTGAATTTCCAGATCATTGGAGGAGAAAACTTCTCCAAATACTGGCTGATGTCCTCCCACTTCCCGTGCCACTCAGCATTATCTGCTCCCAGGGCAGGTGTCCAGACAACCTCCCTAGAAGGCCCTGTTCTGACCCTAAACATGGTGTACACAGTACAGAGCAGACAGAGCAACACTAACAATAACATTATACTGTCCTTAACATCAAAAGGGAACTCAATATTTTCAAAAACTGTTGTAGCAGGTCTGAAGGGGAAGAAGGAGGTGAGAGGCTGGAAACAACCATCCCCCCTGTTCCCCCAAAGGGCTGGGTACGATTTTTAATGAAACCCCAGAGGTAGCAACCCAAACCAGGACAGGCAAACAGGACTGAATACACATTTACAATGAAACTCATTGCTTCTGATGTTAGAATGACATAAACATAATATACTAATAAAGCAATTTGGATCCCTCTCCCTGGTCTTAAAGAGAGCATCAAAACAGGCAAATAGTTCCCCATCTGTGGAAATATGAACAGGCTCAAATACAACAGCCATGTGACTGCATCAAACAACATGGTGATCAGGGAGTTTCTATATCCAAATAAACAAATGCTTAAAGTGAAATTGTGATTCTGACTTCTCTCTCTCTGCCCCACGTTGGGCGGCCAAAAAAATGTGCTGGTTTAAGAGTTAACCAGCAGGGGAAATGAACTCAACTCAAAGGAGAGATTATAAGTCAGAATAACAATTTACTAAAATAATACAGTAAGTACAATCATACAAACAAACAATTGGTCTTAACCCACAAAACCCAAATGTATAACCCAGTACCCTGGGGCATGAACAACGTGGTGTTCCTTGGGCCCCACTTGAGTCCAAAGTAAGGGGAGAGGGGAAGAACCTGCTGGTGGGAGAGCTGTTGCAGTCTGGTCAAAAGTGGTGATTGCAGTGAGATGCTGGTGGGAGAGCTGTTGCAGTCTGGTCAAAGTGGTGATTGGAGTCCAGTATAGGGTGGTGAGCCAAGTCTGTTTGAGAGCGATGAGCCGCAGTCCTTCTCTGGATCCCACAGAGTGGGTAAAAATGTTCCAAGACTCCAAGATTATATATCCTGCAGTTCAGGCAGGAATGCTCAGCACTTCCCTCAGGGCGGGGAGTTCCACAAGGGTGTGAGGACAGGAGCATCCTCCTATCTCACAGGCCTCTTAACACCTAGTTTATAGCCTGAGGAGTCAGGCTCTATGGGCAGATGGTGTAAATGGTTCATTGATAACAGTTTCTGGGAAATGGCATGGAAGGCTATAGAATACACAGTTTTGGGTTACACCCATACCCTGATGAACTGGTCTCAGTTGTCCTAACTAGGACAACAGGGAATAAATCAACAAACAGTAACAATTCACCCACGCTGGATGCAATTAATTTAAAATATCCAAAGGAAATCAAGTATAAAGTTGAATCACTAATGTAGATTGTCGTTAACTTTTAAAATAATCTTACTTTTGGCCTCAGAAATTTCTTGAAGTTCTTTAAAGAAGAAAAGAAAATTGATCCAAGTCAAATTTTCTACTTGGATTTGAAATGCATTTCATGAAAGCTCTGTACTAGGAGCTCCTAAAGAAACCCAGCTGCTGTATTTTCAAGGGAGAAAAAATCTTACAGTTACAGAATTGCTTTAAATATAAGAAATAAGTAATAGCAATAAATGCTTAGTTTACTCAGTGGGAAAGAGTCACCTGTAGTGTCCCACACGTTCAAGAAACATAGGAAGACTTCCTACCAGACCAGGTTGCTCAAGGCCTTATCCAACCTGGCTTTGAACACTGTCAGGTTTAGGGCATCCACAACCTCCCTGGGCAACCTGTTCCAGCGTTTCCACCCTCAAAGTAAAGAATTTCATCGTAATATCTACCTTAAATTTCCCTTCTTTCAATTTGTACTCGTTACTCCCTGTCCTGTCACTACAGTTCCTGACAGTCCCTCTCTGGCTTCCCTCTAGATAATGGAAAGTTGCTGTGAGGTCTCCACACAACTTTCTCTTCTCTAGCCCCAACTTTCTCAATCTGTCCTTGTAGGGGAGGTGCTACAATCCTCCTATCAACTTCATGTTCCTTCTTGCTCCAACAGTTCCCTGCCTATGTTATGTTGGGGACATGAGAACTGTACACAGCACTCCAGATGGGGATCTCGCAAGAGCAGAGTAGATAGAGGGGGAGAATCTACTAAACTGTCACACATATCCAGGTTTGGCAATATAGGTGTTGTATATGGAGGAAAGCATTATAAGATCACTTCACAAAGACAACTAAGGCCTCCTTAACTTCAGGAAAAATAATCCACAGACATAATGAAAGCTTTTAAGATAAAAAAATCAAATCACATGACAAAATAAACTGTAAAGAACTCCTCAGAGCCATATAATATGATGAAAGCTCAGTGATTTATTGAGAAATACAGCCTGAGAATTCAAAAACTATGATCCAAAGCTGCATGGAGACTAAGTTTATAATGTTTAAAAAAAATCACTACAATCTTCTAAAAGAAAAACGTCTAAATTTCAAGACTCATGAAGAGGTCTGGAATATAACAACGGGTAAACACTTCACAATACTTAAAAGAATGTATTTTATCATTTGTGAAACAAAATTGTTGCATCATTAGATTAAGTGGAACTTTAAAAATCATATAAATACATGTGATAGTTTGAGCCACATTAGAAATCCAAAATCCAATTTCCAGGCTTCCCCCACCCCTTGCCACAATTTATCCCAACACCGAAGAGAAAACTTTCAGGCCAGAGGCTGCTATAGGGGGAAGGGGAAGTATATACATTTATTTTACATAAATAAATACTAAACAAATTAAAGGCAACTATATATATATATATATATATATATATATAATTACACTTCTATCAGTCCTTTTAAGCTCCTCCCTTTAACTTTAGTTCAGGAAAAGCCTTCCAAGGCTGATATGTAATGCAGTCTCTCTCGTGGGAGTGTTCGGGGCCCCTGAACACTCCCTACCAACCTTCAGCTGTTTGTTGCAGTTTTTCCTTCGAAGTCAACGAAGATAGCTTTGAGTCTGTCCTCTCATACCTTGGTTCGTAGGCTGCTGTAGTGTAGTCAGTTTATCAACATATGCATCCTGGAATTTCATTCCTCCTCCGGGTTTTCGGTTGTCCTGCGTTTAAATCACTGTGAAGGACATCCTCCGGGCCTCTCTCCTGTCCGTCTCTAATTTCGCCTGGGGGTTTCTCTTCCCCTGGCACTGAGCTGTATTTAGCCCATCCACTTTGGCTCTGCTCCAATGCTGACCCTTAAAATCCACTCCCACTAAACAGCGAGAGGGAAAAACAGCACCCTTCTGCAGCCTTGCTGCAAAGGGGGGGGATGAAGAGGGCCCGGCCACAAGGCCTGTCTCTCTCTCCTCGCTTACCAGTTGTTTGTGAGTCGTGTCCCTCACAAACATACACTCACTCCAATGCTGCCTCTAACTCTGGCCTAGGCAGAGCTGGGGGGCCGCAGGGCTCCCCTCCCCACCCCCGGAGGAGAGGAAGAAGGAGCCCAGCCACCTCCTGGCCTTCTCCACCTACACGCAGCAGACACCAACAGAAAATATACCAACAGCTTCAGGTGCTGTGATATATGATTTTGAGCAGAAGCGAACAAGATAAGTGGTGACTGGCTCTCCAGGGAACACTGCCCTGGCACCCAATCACCTCTGAGCCCCTGACTCCCGGGGGGGCCATCTCAAACTATGACAGTACAGAATAAGAATCTTACAACAAATAAAGTTAGAATATTTATTCTGGAAAGACTGTCAGAACAAATCCAGGAGATACCGCATTCTGTGTTTTTTGTTTTACAGCAGGTTACTCTTTACACAAATCTTGAGGAATTAAACACTGTGGGGTTTTTTTAATATTCAACTTTCTTATTAATATAATCCTTGATTACAGATCTACCGTATCTCACCATGCTAAGCAAAGTTTTATATTTAACAAGCGTTATTACCTTAATTATTTTCACTTCTCTACTTAATCAAGGGAAAGAGTGTTAGTAAAACTGAAACTCACATGTACACCTCACTGACGTATCTATGGAAGAAACTAAGCAACGGTGTTTACAAAAACAATGTGGGTAGATAATTTCAAAGCCTTTCAAACTCTCTTCGAGTCATAAATTGGCCTTCGGAAAATGTCAGGAGTATACATGTAAGACCTGGTACACTTGTAAGTTGGATGCCTGTTAGATGGATGTATTTATGGTAATAGTTCCAAATGGCACACTAAAGCTTAGAAATTTTTAGAAAATGCTTCTCTCCACCATAAAACTTTCTTTAGATTCGTGACCTCAAATTTATTTGCATGGTCAGGAAAAGTGTAACAAATCAGAAACAACAAATTTCATTTTGATAGAAGAAATTCAGATACTTCACAATTTTTTCAGTGAATTTGTTTTCAGTAACAGTAGCACTATGGTTTTATTTTTATTTTTGGTATCTTTGTTAGAGAATATAAATGAGAGTCTTGTTGAATAGTGACACCATTACTCTTTTTTTCCTCATGACAGATTCAATTGTGAAGTAGCTTTGATTAGCAACAGCAGAAATTGTTACAGTACTGCAGCAGCATAGTTGCACGTTTGTTTCTAAAAAAAAGAAAAACAAACACCAAATTGCAATTTCCTTTAAAACTGTCTGATACAGAAGCTTAATTTAAACGCAGAAACAACTTTTATTATTCTAGAAGAGGACTCACCTGCACCTGATATTTTGGAGAATTCTGATGTACTGCATTAGAAGCATTATATGCTTCCTGAAGTTGGACTTGCAACAAACAAATTGTTTTATCTTTTTCAAGTAAGTGATCCTGAAGAGAGGCACAGCTCTGCTGCAGTTGAATTTCACTTGTTTTAACAGTTTCAAAACATAAACTCAACTCGTTATAAAGCTATGAGAGGGGAGAAAAGAAATACTAGGATTAAAAATAACTCCAATGCAGATAACCACATTAATACAGAAAGTATAATTTAAGTAACTTATCCACAAAGATCACCCTCTTTTTTACATTTAACAATTTGTTCACACTTGTCCTCCTGCCCCCTGTCCAGTTCTATACATTTCAAAATTGCAACAATCACTGTAACTTTAAGTTTGAAGTAAGTTTTCCAGAAAAATACAGCTCATGGTAGAATATTATCAGTTTCAGTTGCTTCTCTATAGCATTTATAAATAGAAATGGCCATCTAAAAATCAGGATTGATTTTACTTCTTGAACAGTTTATATAAAATACAGAAAATACAAAAGGAAAAGAAAATCCCTTCCTGAGAATAGGCAAAAAAGTTAAAATATCTGTTCAGGGAATTAAATTAAAGGAGCAAGAATACCAAATACCATTATTGTCTTTTATAAAGTAGTTTCATCTTTTAAAAGTAACATTTTAAATATAGCTCGGATAGAAATACAATGAATCCACTAATGCCTATCGCATTTTGTATGAAGTGTAAAATGGTTGTGTAATTATTCTGTGGGAATTTTTTTTCACATTAACTGTAAACCCCAGAGATTATATTGTAAGTTCTTATCCCTGGCTGTTGTACAACTGTTCTTTCTGAAACCAGAATATTATATATATATTTTGCAATTGCTTTAGAATAGACTTCACACACACAAAGAATTTCTAAAACAAGTTCTAAAAAACTAGCAGTACATGCCATCTGACAAAAATAAGTTCTCTTATTCTTGCAAAATAAGTTAATAACCACCCCATACCTCCACTGTTACCCATCTTTTTCCGTTTAAGCATCTAAACATTATTTAAAATGATTCATCGTTAAAAAAAGAGAAAAAAACAGTTTGGAAAATAAACCTGTAGTTGAATAAACAGTACAGATTCTAAAGGAAATACACAACTGCACCTTTACTAGCTAACCATACATTCCCTCCTCTCTTCATTTCAGTCTTTCATTCCTTTGATTGTCCTTTTTTCTCAAAATGAACAAAATACCCTCTGACTATTCTACCATAAAATGATCTACAGAAGGCATGAACAGAAGGCAGGGAACAGTTTTCTTTGGAAAATCCATCTCTGACATTCAATTAAAAAAAATTAAATATGAAAATCAGGTTTTCCAAATATATCAATAATGTTTGTAAGCACAAGAAATTGACACAAGATATTTTACTTGTAAAACCACTATTTTACTCTTCATTTTACCCCTTGTGTTGCCAGTTTTATTTAAATTCTACAATCCTTTCTCCCTTTCATCTGTTTACATCACTTAGAAGTTAAAGCCCTTGAAAAACAGTCACAACTCTTCAAGTGGTAAACTGTCTACCTAACATTTTCTGAGAAATTTGGAAATAATAATCTCCCCTTTCCTTCTTCCTAACATTTTCTACTCCCGTGGTCTCTCAAAATCCACTTAGGACAAAGTAAATTACTTCTTGCCTATTTCCAAGGCAGATCAGAGATCATGTCTCTCAGGCAAAATTAATTCAAAGTCCAGACAGATTGATATTTCAAATGCCTCCAAGTCATTAAACATTTGCATTGAAATTTCTGTGCCTACTGAATCTTTCTTTTTTATTTAAGAATGCTTACATCATCTCTAGAAATGCAAGTTCAAGATTAGCCAATTTCTTATGAAAAATCAGTAAGTATCTCACAGGAAAATAAACAGTTCATTTATCAAAAACATGCATTTTTAGATAATATCTTTCCAAATGAATGGAACATCAAGACACAGTTACTTCCAGCTATAACTATATAAGCTCATTAGCTAGATCATCCTGGTATGACAATTTGCTGTTTTTATGACTAGAAGTACTTAAATGGTTGTAATTATAGTATCTGAAAGGTAGCATCCTAGTAAGATGAATGGAGAACATCAAAAATATGATGTCTTTTCCTAGTTGGCAGCTGCATCCCCTAATGCAGCTAATGGGTATTTGGTAGTCAGCATTTGTCAGGGCAAGACAAATAGCACATCTTTTGACTTGCACAAACTTTTCCAACCTTTCCTGCTTTGAAAACAGTACTAAAACACAAAACACATATATTTCAAGCATAAAACTAGCTAAAACCTATGTGCAAAAAACCATTCATACTGTTCATCTCTTTACACTAAGGTTTATATATTTTTTAAACACCACCAATGTACTATTTAATAGTACACAGATTTTTTTTTTAAGGAATTTAACACCAGGAATTTTCAAAATTAAAATTATCTGTACAAAAATAAATAGTTTCATCTACTGTCCACAGACAACTGGAACAGCTTCTAAATTTCTATTTGGATCCCCATATTTTCTTTTACTGTTTTGTGGATTAATGAGTGCCTAATGTTTATATTGGATTATTTTGGGGTTTACTGCTCATTTCTGACCCTGTTCAGAAGAGACACTACAATTAATCACATTAGAGTGAGCACATTCTAAAATACAAAGACTTGCACAGCACGATGAAATAGGTCTATCATTAATAAAGAAATTCAGGTGTGGAGAAGCATTGTAAAATGAAATCAGATGATTAGAGAAGGAACATTGCATAGAACAGCCAAAGAAAGAAAATATATTGTAAATTATTTATCTCAGAACTAGCAAGCTTCACAGAAGAAATGAGTGGAATCTTGACTGTACCTATGTGAATGGTTATACCTTACCTGAATGTCAACAGGACATGAGATTTACCCAGTGAGTTTGGTAATCTCCCAACAAAGTTATGAAAAAATATTTATGTTTACAAGATAGAAATAAAAAGGAAAATATTTAAAATAATTCTTTGTTACATTTTATGACACTTGGTATTTTAAAAAAAAAAAACATTAGCAAGTGACACAAGACTGCTCTGCAAAAACTGTTGCACTGACTATACTTTCATAATCTCTTTCTAAGGCGTTACAGCTGCCCTTTCTCTGACAGGCAGCACAGATTATTGCAGGTGAAGGTACTTAAAAACAAAGGAGAAAAGATTAGAAGTATCTGAAATCAGTACACTGTAATAAATTTAGTTTGTATGACACAAGAGCATTATTCATCAGTCAGAAAGGGTAACTTAGCTGAATTGCAAAAAAATAAAGGATTCCGTATTTCTTAGCTATCCTAACAATTTGCTATATTGATTTACCTGATTTCACCAGAAAACACTTTTTGGTACACCTTTGAAGAGTTACTTAAAACAGAAAATGTAATGCCATCAAGTAACCTAAAAATATCAAACTAAATCCAGGAATTCCAGAACCAAAAAACGGAACTCTAATGCCTGCTCATATGCAATAGAAAACATTTAACAGCCTGATAATGTGGGATGAGGAAGTACTACCAATATACATAAAATACATGTTATGGCAAAATTATCTTAGATCAGAGCAAAGAAAGCTGAGAAATTCCAACAAACCCTAGCAAAATTAAATAATTAACCCATGCTATTTATTGTGTGGTGTGGTATGGTATGCTAGCCAGAATCATAGTGCAGCCTGAAAAAAAACTGCAGAGTGAAACAGTTGAAACAAATGACCAACACTAACAGTATAGAAGTGTGCAGGATTTATTTTAAACTAGGTTTAGATGGCTCCTGTGCACTACATGCCAGCTAACAGCTGGGGCATACTTTTCAGTTCCAAAATAATTTCCAATTCCATACTCCAAAAGGCATTTAGTTAATACTCTCATGAATTTTTCTGTGGTATCAACTAAAGTACAGGGAGCGGGGCCATTTAGGAGACTTCCTTCAAAATCTCCAGTGAGGGACTAAGGTAGATCCATCTAATGAAACATAACAGTAGCCATATATAAGCATTGGGTATAGAACAAATATTCTCCAACATTAAATGTTTTATCTAAATGCTCACACCCTAAAAAAGTGTATTACAGAGACCTGAGTAAATAAAATCATAGAATCACTAAGGTTGGAATAGATCTTCAAGATCATCAAGTTCAACCTTTGATCAAAACTCATCATGTCAACTAAACCATAGCACTCAGTGCCACATCCAGTCTTTTAGGAACCCTAACCTACAGTAATACTGACCATATAGTAATCACATAAATAAAAAAAAGTCAGTCTAAATTGAGACATACTAAAACTATAATGGAAATTATTATAGCACCATTGCAGAAAGCCATTTACAAGCCATGCTGTTTATGAGAACTTGAAAAGAACAAGGACAGAAATCTGCTGGTAAAGCTCTAGGGTGTAGCTGAAGAGACACTCCAGACAAACGGTACATAGCCCTTTCATGATGTTTAGTTTTATTTTATTTATAGATTATTAATTTTTTTTCCCAAATACTTGAATATTCTGGAGATACCAATCTACACTGCTACACACAGGAACTACTGCACACTAAGAGTATCAGTACAGGGCTTTTCAAGCACGAAAAAACGCCTCCGAGTCCACAATTTAACATCACCTTAAAAGAACCAGAGTTTACCCAGGATTTATTCGCCTTTAGCCTACAGGCACATCTGATGCCAAAATTTACTTGCTAGCATGTGACCAACTGTACTGATGTTTCGTATACAAGAACAAAGACTAAGCTAATTAACACACTTCCCAACAATAGAAAACAGTATCTGAGCTTGAACTAAAGTATGTGAATCTGTTGAAGATCTGAGTTCCTCACAACTTTAATATACAAAGTGGACTAGGAAAACGATGGTTTACTTATTACTGATGTGGGTGTCACCATATTTGACCAGACAGATAGTTTTTCTCTTATCATGTGTGAAAGAACTTATGCTTTTCATTCCAATATGCGTAAGAACCTGCATTGTTACTGCCATTTACAGATTTGTATGGGTTTAGTTTTTATTTTGTGAATTTGATGCTGCTTACATAAAAATTAACACATTTATGTATTTTTAACTATGCTTAAAGGTTGTTGCAGTTACAAAACATACTGGACATGGTAAAATTTAACCTTAATATGGTAAACACAGTAACTTGATGTCCTGATTACAATTTTTCAGGCTTGAAGGAAAGTAAACTATCTCTACACACTGACACACTAGCAAAGGCAACTAAAGGTACAAAACTAAGATCTGAAAGTATATCTATCACTTTCATATTTTTCATCTACTTGCTGGTGCACTTGATGCAGACTTTCACAATACCTCATAATTGAAAACTCTTACTGTGTTTTCTAATTACACCAAAAATCTAACTATTGAACAATGTTTTCTTCATTACAGACTTGCATTATATCATTATCCACAGTATTCTCTATTTGAGAGCTGAGTTCCAGGACATGAATTATCATTTCTCATTGAATGACAAATTACTGGAATATTTCTGCTCCACTAAAAGGGCCTTCCCTTGAAAGACTTAATCAGTGTGATTAACATAGGTCCTAAAGGTCACATCAGATCAAGTGAAAGTACTGCATTATAAAAACAAGGGCCTTAAATTGTAAATTTCAGAAAACTGTGATAAGCTGGCTAAGGACTTCAGAATCTCTTCTTGTCTTATTATCCCTAGTATTGATTGAAATCTCTCCACCTTGAAATTGTTGGTGAGGACAAATCTATGGAGTCTCATTAACTCCAGCACAGGAATGAACTCCCCAGAGCATCTAGGACCACTAAAACAGATGCTATACATTTTAGAAAAATATTCTCTATCCTTGAGAATGTGAACTACAGCTGCAATATGAAATAGATACCAATTTGTTTCCATAAAAGCTCTAACGTAAAGGAGTTACGTAGAACACAGTATCCTTAAAATCTGCACTTAGAGAAAAAAAAAGCAGTATGTAAAGTCAACGCAACTAGATAAAAGAGATTACAGATCTTTACGCACTGCTCACTACAGTTAGACTTGGAAGAGAATTTGTGGTCTTGACTGGATTTACACATAATCCAGCGTAAGTTTATGACCTTTGTCAGGTTTATTAGAAAAGTTTTTTTCTTTTTTCAGTCCACTGTTTCATACTACACATTAACATCAGCACAAAGATCTGTTCTTCTCAATGGTAGACTGTTAAAATCAACTTGCAATATGTGAGCCAACCACACTGCCTAAGCTATAGCATATACTGCCTATCTGACCAGAGAGGTCACTGATCTTGCGGTAAGGGACAATATATCACAGGATGTACATGCTGATAGGCTCAATGCCATTTGAAGCAGTAGGAAAACATTCCTTTGTGACTGTGTTTATGGAGTAGCTGACACATCCTTATCTAGCTGTTGCAGCCTGCATATTATTAATACAGGGAAGACAAACAGAGAAAACATTTGTCTGCAATAGTTTGCCTTTCTCATTCAAAGGAGAAAATAGACATTTGTATTACTTCTATAGATACTGAGTTTTCCAAACGCCTCCTGTGACTTCAGTAGAACTGTGTATCTTGTGATTTGAAAAATGCACATTACTTTGAAGCAATTACAGTTGGGTGTTTTATACAGTTCTGATCAGAAATACAGAACAGGATTGTCATGATACAGAACAGAAATACAGAACAGGATTGTCTGTTTTCCCTTCCAAAGCTCTCAACTCAATTTGCCACAAACATTATAAATTCTATTCCACTCTGACTTTGGGAACTTCACTTCTCCTTTTTTTTACTTCTTTTTCTTTTACTTCCTTTTTTTTTTTAGACATATTTACATATTACGTACATTCTCTCTTTTTTTCATTCTATAATTTACTTTGTCTGCCCCAAATAGGTAAACTCCTGTTGCCTCATAAATGTTCTGAACAACCTGTTGCTTGACTCGGTTACTATTGTAATGTATGAGAGACTTAATGTCTGTCATCACTGCAGTCAATAGTAAACTGTAGACCTTTGTACGGTGGGGGATTTTTTCTTCCTTTTTCTATACAGGAGCTCTTTATGCTGGTATTCCACAAAAAATTATAATTCCACAAAATTTATAATGCAAACTGCAGCACACAGTACAGCATTAAGTACACAAAAATGTGCTGGGCACTATGAGCTATAAAATGCTAATCAAAAACATCTTTAGAAACCCAGTACTGATTCTGGCTTGACTGAGGCCTAGTTCCACAATTTTATCACAAACTGCACACTCTAAGTAAGATGACAGAGGGAGACAACTTTTTGGGAAAAAGCACTGGCAGTACACAATTTGTGAAAGTAGTTCCAAGATGGTAAAAGGTGTGTAAAAATTATATATACAACTTATTACTTGTCTTCTTCCTTCTCAGTGTTTCTAAAAAGGAAACAAACGTATCTTCCATATTTCTTATAAACTGAAAAACAGATCCATATAACTTGGTAACCTAAAAGAAGTTCTGAGTAGTACACGTGTGCCAGCTCAACATTTTCCCTGACAGTCACCAAAAATATGAAACTGGTCTGCAAGTGTAAATATTTTAAAAAGATACTATAGCAACAATTTTTCCAGTTAATTTTGATAGAGCAGGTTTTTGCATCTTAAATCACTAAAATTATTTGCGATTCACACACATACATTGTTTACAAGTAAAAGGAATTTCTTCTACCAAACTAAGAAAAGCAATTTGGAGAATTCAGTAACTAAAAGCTCCTGTCCTCCAGCAGAGGAAGAAATAAACACAAATAACACAAAATTACATAAAGAAATTTATATACTTCACAACTCATTCCTATTTTTTTCAGATGCAACAAAATCTTAATTTTTAAGGCTCATCAATACAATGTACGCACAGGTATGTAATTGAGCCAATAAACTCTGCTACTCAACCATATTTTGCAACAATAAAAATACAGACATAAAAAGGATACAACATTACAAAGTGCTTTGGTTACTCTGTCCACTGATATTGTATAGATGGATATTAAAATGAACCCTGTGATCATAAGCAGAATAACGTACTTTTTGATATAATGTTATTTCAGCTGTGTGAGCATCTTCTTGGTCTTTCATCACTTTTTGTGTATTAGCATTGAGAGCCTGAACCTGCTTTATCAGCTCAGCCTGCTGTGCTGTATATTCAGTGTTTTGTCCACAAAGATTCTGCAGCTCCTGTAACTCCTTCCTGTGCAAAAAGAGCAATAAAAAGAAATTCAAAAAAAGAACAAACTCCATTAAAAAATTGTATTCAAATAACTTTACTGTAGATAATGAGCTTTCTATTTTCATTTATTTTTTCTGCCAATTGCCTTGCAAACACTAGAAGTTACATATAAAATATCACATGCTTTTGAGAAATATCTACAAAGCAGTTTAGGTTCAAAATGGAATGCCTTTCAATTTCCCTCTAATGCATTAACTGTTCTAAAATAAATGGATTTTCACTACTGCATTGTTTTCTAATCAATATTCAGTTAACTCTTCAGCAGTGTCAAAATGTAAAATATGTAGAACACACTGACTGTAAAATAAGTTTGTTTTTTTTTTAAACTAGAACTATCAGAAGGAGATACAAGTTTTTCTTAACTTTCAGAGTATGTTTGAAGCAAGTCTCTTTTCTGAAATGCATCTGCTCTCTAGACACACGAAGTATGTTTGCTGATAAATTATTTTTTGTCTATACGTACAGCATACTGCAACAACCATAAGCAAAATAAGCAAAAACTTCAGTGTGTATTACATAAAATAATAAGAAGTTCTATGAAGACAATAATAGGAATCACACTGTAATATAACCATAGGATAAAGCTACTATAATCAGCCTGCTTGATAATTTAACTGTACTGCTGATGGATTTTCTAAACTAAGAATGAAAATCAGTAACTCTTACTTATTATAAATGATGATTAAAAATTTAAAATATTTTCTGTAACATATATTAAAAGTTCAGATAACTATTAATCCCAATTTACATATTTTATGCTTAGTTTGCTTTTTAATTCACAAGCATATCTCGCAGACATACAGATACTGAAATATACACTTAGCACTCCAACTAATTTTCTTCCTTACTTCCTCAAAGAATTGTGTCTGTAAACTCCAACACATAAGCATCATCTTTGTGCCTAGAATAATTATTTACAACAGGAGTTATCATTGCAATTTTATAATACGGCTGAGATGTCCAGGCAAATATTAGCGTACAAAAGGTAAGCAGAAATATCAACTTCATTGTGTTTTCCAGAGAAAAAGCAGAATGACAAAGAAAATATTTTAAGGGAACTTTCCAAAAAACATTTCTGAAGGCCTTTGTCACTATTTAATAGGATGATAATTCAATAAAGATACATCTGAATAATTACATAAGAATTTAAATTATGTGGACCACAACAGGACAGTCAGACAACTTAATTTTGTTAAAATGAACTGTTTAAAAAAGCCTGTTAACAGACCAACACAGGATGACACTTAACATGCTCACTATGCTTACTAGGACTTAACAGTAAGTCCTACCATTCTTCATGAAATGTAAAGTGGTTCCCCAAAGCTAACAAGGGCAGAGGTACATTAAAGACATTAAGAAAACCAAAGTACAACTGCTGTATGTACTTCATATGTACTAATTTAATTCTGCTCAGAAACACAGCAGCAGAAATAAGAACACAGTAATATATCTGCACTTTCTGGCAGCTGTACAACAGGTCTCCAAACAAGCAGTTCAAGTAGAAATGACACAACTTTTCACTGCAATTAAAACACAGATTATATTAATTTTACACAGGTTTTCCAATCAGATCTTCATTTTGTTGTGGAAGGGAAAAACATGGGATAACATTGAATCCTCAGATACTGCTAGAAACACTGGCAGTAACTATTGCCAAGACCAGTCTGCTATATTGCTGCTCTTTAATTTGTATGCAAACATCAATGCAGTTATCTGTGTCTGTCACTCGAGAATGCTCAGTATTATGTGTTCTCTAGTGATCTGCCCACAAAGTGTATTAAGGTCAATGGGAATCTTTTTTTGTTGACTTTTATCAGGGTTTGAGTCAAATCCTTAAGGGGAGAGGATGGGGGGAAAGCTAAACCTTGCAGTCACACAAGAACTGCAGCACAGTCAGAACATATTAACATGTTTTCTCATGTTAAATCCAAGGATTTACAAATGTAAGGAAACTGTCACCACCCTTACAACACATTTTAAAAATCAAACTTTATTTATTCAGATACATACTTTAACTTGCTTCCCTCTTTAGTGAATGAGGCACTATTTTTACATTACAAATCAATGGGGGATCCTTCTTTTATTTCATTTTTACAGAGGAAAAAGGAAATTATGCTCATCCTACCAGGAATTATTCAGTACCAATGGTACAATACAAATAAATACACAGAATTAAGCACCTTTGACAACAGACAGGCCAATTTGATGATGGGTGCTTTAAACTAGGAATGGTAGGGGACAGCGATGTTGATGAAATAACAAGTGAGGAAGCTCTGGTCTGGGCTGGCAAGCAAGGGACACAGGTAAATATGGACAGAAAAGACCATGTGATGAGCATCAGAACACTCAGGGAAGACTACCTCCACCATATGCACATAAATAAGGGAGTATTGATAGTATGGGGGAGGCTCTTAAGGGTCTTTCTGGGAAATAAACACAACTGTGTACACATCTGAAGTTGCTGTTCAAATGCACACAGTACACCCCCACAGAAAATCTCTGGAGGAATGAAAGATCTGCAGGGGTCATTGGGATCATAGAGACAAGCTGGTACAACTCACATGACTGAAGCATGGACATGCATGGATAGAGGTTCTTCAGGAAGAACTGTGTTCAAGAAGAAGGCTTTGGGAAACTACCAGCAATCAACCATACCTTAGTCCCTGGGAAGGTGATGAACCACATAAAGGACAAGATAATCACTGGGAGTGGTCATAAGGAATTCATCATGGCTGGGCTTCGCGAACGAAGATTTGGGAAGGCTCTATCCACATTTGCTGCAGGCACGCTGGTGGCTTATGAGGCCAATACGTGACAGACAAATCCGATTGCAAAAGGCACAGCAGAAAGACTCCTTAGATGGTGTATTCTGCAATACACGGTTCTTTCTGCGTTGCCTTTTTTCCTCGAGGGTGATCCTGCGTGTGTTCTCAAAGGAGACAGCTGCGTTATAGATGGTGTGTCTCCAGGCCTCCCGATTTGAGGCCAGAGTAGACCAGTTATGGTGATCAATATGGCCAAGGCTGAGATGTTGTTTCAGGGAGTCCTTGTATCTTTTCTTCGGGGCTCCTCTCATGCGGCAGCCGGTGGCAAGTTCGCCATAAAGCAAGATCTTAGGGAGGCGGTGGTCCTTCATCCTGGAGACATGACCTGCCCAACGCAGCTGTGTTCTCATCAGCATGGCCTCGATACTTGTGACTGCTGCTTGCTCTAGAACAGATGTATTGGTCACATAGTCTGACCAGTGGATGTTTAGAATTGTACGGAGGCAGCGTTGATGGAAGCGCTCTAGGAGACGCAGGTGGTGGCGGTAGATGACCCATGATTCAGATCCATATAAGAGAGTGGACAGCACTATGGCTTTGTAAACACTGATCTTGGTGCTTTTCTTCAAGTCTTTATTACGCCATACTCTTTTATGGAGTTTTCCAAAAGCACTATATGCCTTTGCTAATCTGTTGTCTATCTCTCCGTCAATCTTACCATCTGAGGAGATGAGGCTACCGAGGTAATTAAACTGTTGGACTGATTTGAGCTCTGATTGACCAATGGTGATGTGGGGATGATGGGGGACATCCTGAGGTGCAGGCTGATGGAGGACCTCTGTCTTCTTTAAGCTGACCTCCAGACCAAAGAGCTCAGCAGCATCTGCAAAGCAGGATGTTAAACGCTGCAGAGCTGCTTCTGTGTGGGCAACAAGGGCGGCGTCATCAGCATAAAGCAGCTCCCGGACAAGATGGTTTAAGGTCTTAGTGTGGGCCTTCAGTCGCCTTAGATTGAATAGCTTCCATCAGTACGGTATCGAATGTAGATACCGTCCTGATCATCGAGGTCTGCTGTGGCCCTTTGGAGCATCATGCTAAAGAAGACGGTGAATAGGGTAGGAGCGAGAACGCAGCCTTGTTTCACACCATTCTTAATTAAAAAGGGCTCAGAAAGTGTGTTGCCATATCTGACTTGGCCGTGCTGATCCTCATGGAGTGAGATGATCATTTTGAGGAATTTAGGGGGACAACCTAAACGTTCCAAAATCTGCCACAGACCTTTTCTGCTCACAGTGTCAAAAGCCTTGGTGAGGTCGACAAAGGTTACATAGAGACCTTTGTTCTGTTCCCTACACTTCTCTTGCAGTTGTCTGAGGACAAATACCATGTCTGTGGTGCTCCTGTTGGCTCTGAAACCACACTGACTTTCAGGAAGGATACCTTCTGCTATAGTGGGTATTAGTCTGTTCAAGAGTATTTTTGCCAGGATTTTGACTGCATCACGAAGGTCTGATGGTAGTTCGCCGAGTTCCCAACAGCGCACCACGAACTCATGGAATTTGGTGTGGAGTGCAGGGCCCCCATGTTTCCAGATTTCAGGTGGAATTCCATCAATCCCAGCTGCCTTGCCGATTTTCACCTGCTGTATGGCCTTGAGGGTTTCTCCTAAAGTGGGGGCAGTATCCAATTCATACTTTACTGGTTGTTGTGTGATGGACTGAATTGCTGAGTCTTGGACTGTGCGGTTGGTACTGAATAGAGTCTGAAAGTGTTCAGACCATCGATTCAGAATGGAGGTTTTATCTGTCAGAAGTGTTTGACCATCAGCGCTGAGTAGAGGGCTTTGTACCTGGTATGTAGGCCCGTATGCTGTTTTCAAGGCCTCATAGAAACCTCTGTGATCACCTGTATCTGCGCATAATTGAGTTTTTTCAGCTAGATCAATCCACCATTTGTTCTGGACATAAGAAATTCACAAAGAGGAAATAATGCCTAACTGGCCTGGCAGCCTTCTCCGATGAAATTACTATCTCAGCGGATAAGGGGCGAGCAGTGGGTGCAGTGTGTTTTGAGTTTAAAGAGTTATGATCAGTGGCGCAAAGACCAGTTCAAGGCCAGGCACATCCTAGGGGCTAACACTGGGGCCACCACTTTTTAACATCTTCATTAATGACCTGGACAACGGGACAGAGTGCA